GCGGCCACCTCTTTCTCTCGCGCTCGGAGCGGCTGGGGGTGCCGAACCTTTTGGTTGCCAGCCTGGCCCTTGACCACCGCTGTTTTCGTCGTAGAGTGGCCTGGCCCATCCCAGAGACCAAGTGGCTTCAAAATCAAAACTCAGTCCGGCTCAGCGCGACCCCGTAGGACACTAGAACTGCCCTTGTGGTTTCAGAGACTGGGATGGAGTCGTAGGAAGGCCTGTCTTTCTCCTGTGGAGCCGGGTAGAGTGGTTGCTGGTTTCAAACTTCTGACGGGTGGGTATAGGCCTCCAAGACTCCAAGTATCTTACAAAAACGTTCTCTTCCCTTTGAGGTTCACTTTCCTGTCATGTTACTTTGTTCTTTGGGATCATTCAATCACTCGGTACCTTTTTTTACTTACTCCGTTAAGCTCAAAGTTGTCCTCAGAGCAAGCACCTGGGAGTTGCTAGGGACCAGGCCTTGTCCCAAGTACTTTTACAGAGAGATCTTTTTTCCCCTTCCTGGGTAAAAAGGATTTTATTGCCCATCGTGTCTTGCTCTGAACAGCCCTGGTCTCGTGGTGGATTACATGTTTGCCTGCTAACTGCAGGGTCCACCCTCAAAACTACCAGATTACACATTCAGAATACGTGAGATGGAGTCTTGCCGTTGTGCCTTATGAGGAGCGTTCTAATGGCTTACTTCTTCCAAGACAGATTTTCCATGCTTCATTCATGTTCATCAACACCATAATTCAAACCCTTCAGTTCTGTGGGCTTCCTTGTTACGCATTCACTGCCTTCCAGTCACTTCCCGCTCCCAGCAACCCTGCCTGTAAGGAGGTTTCTGAAGCCTTACATCTTTATAGGAGCAGAAAGGCATCCTTCTCCTTTGACAACCCTGTGGGTTCCTGTTGCTCACGGCTCCTTCCTTATTCATATAAACAACTCCAACCAAACACACTGCCATCAAGTAAATTCTAACTCGCAGCAGCCTTATAGGACAAGGTAGAACTGCCCCTGTGGGTTTCCAAAACTAACTGGTTGAAGGGAACGGGAGTAGAAAGCCTTATCTTTTTCCCGTAAAGCTGTTTCCAAGTCTGATTCATACTTCAGCTTTATATCTGCCCTCTATTTGCAAGTTCTGGCGGAAGAGTCAGCTTTGATAGCTATTACTTATAGCAAACTTGTTTCTTAACTAATAACATTGATTAGACCCCTCCCGTGTGCCAGGCACTGTTCTAAACTAAGCTCTTTCCCTTTATCTCATTCAGTTTTTGATCTCTGTCCATTTACAGAGCAGACGCTATGTCACAGGAACTATGTAACTTTGCCTCAGGTATAAGGGGCCCATGGGATGAGTGAGCAGGGGGCATTGCATGTTTACCTCTAAATAGATATATTTACATGTGTGAGAAAGAAAGTGTGTAATGCCCCAGCTTACCTACTCAACAGCAGGTCAAGCACCTACCTTGAGTATTTGGAATAGATCTGTAAACATAGTAGAGGTCCCTGTCCTCGATTATAGGCTGATTCAGCACATTTAATCTAGATGATTTTGTAGTGCCAGTTATCTCTTCAGTTGGAAGTAAAACTCAAAAACCCAACACCATAACCATCAAGACTGATAGTGATGCTATAGGACAGAGTTGAGCTGGCCCTGTAGGTTTCCAAGGCTGTGAATCGTTCTGGAACAGACAGCTTCATTTCTCTCGTAGAGCCATTGATGGTTTCTAACTGCCAAAGCACACAATCCACTACACTATTGGGGCTTAATTGAGGATAAGTGTTCAAAAGGATAAGTTCATATTTTATTCCTGCTGCTCTTTTGCACTTTCGGCCCTTTTGTAGCTCCAGTTAATCTCAAATAACAGAAATGGCCATTTCAACTCCTCATCATTTCTGCCCTCTGGTGGAGATCATGAATAAACTGAGAAATGGCGGGAAGAACCTGCAGGGTCCTGGCCCTAGCAGATCAGTATTAGTTGCAAAGGATCCTGTCCTGAAGTACCTTGTTCATTTTTGTTAGGATGCCGAAGGTTAATAGCAAAAGTTGACTGATGTTATAGATTCTTGGGTAATGGCTGAAAAATACATGTGTTTAATTGAGTACTTTGTGCTTTAGACCTTGGACTATACAGTAGTTCATTCTATTATCAGATAAAGAGAACATACTTGTAAAAAGAAACATTCAAATATTAAGATGTTAAGGAGGACTAGCGGCACAGTGAATTACTTGTTGAGTTGTTAACAGCAAAATCAGCCATTTGAACCAGCTGCTCCGGGGAAGAAGTTGAAAGCTGGCTGCTTTAGTAAAGATTAACAGCCTCGGAAACATTAGGGAGCTTTTCGGCTCTGTCCTAGAGGGCCTCTGATTTGGAATGGACTTGAGATGGCAATGGGTTTGGGCTAGAATTTTTGTTTTATTCTATTGTTTCAAGTTGAAAGCCCCTATGTGACCAGTCTAGAGGGGATCAGATTTTCGAGGCTTTTAGAATGCCAGCATTTGGATTTTATTACCTAGGTACTACACAGTATTGGGTAACATGTGAGCTCTTAATGACCTTGAGGTTCCAAGAAAGTTTTCTGTTGACTGGTGGTGCTGAAGGCAGAGGGGGAGGAACACAAGTTTCAGAAATTAAATGTTCAGTTTTAGAAAGCTTGTTTTCCCATCAACTAATTTTAGACTTTTCACAACATGAAAGGAAGGGTTTTCATATTGTGAATGTATTTCCAGTAGTTTATTAACTTCTTTGGAGGCTATCTGGTTGCGCTGTTGAGTAAGCATTGGCCTGCTACCTATAGAGTCAGTGGTTCAGATCCAGCGAGAAAGATGAAATGGTCTACTCGTGTGAACATCTGTAGCCTTGGAAGCCCTCAGAGGGTGGCTCTGAGTTGGAATCAAACCAGCAGCATTGGATATTAACTTCATTCATAGGTTATCTTAAAGAGAATTTTTTGTGTGTCTTCTGGTACTTTTTTAATCGTTTTATTAGGGGCTCGTACAACTCTTATCACAATCTATACTTGCATCAGTTGTATAAAGCACATTTGTATGCTCATTGCCCTCATCATTCTCAAAACATTTCCTCTCCACTTAAGCCCATGGCATCAGATCCTCTTTTTTCCCCTCCCTCCCCACTCCCCCCTTCCTCATGAACCCTTGATAATTTACAAATTATTTTGTCATATCTTGCCTTGTCGTACGTCTCCCTTCACCCACTTTTCTGTTGTCCATCCCCCAGGGAGGAGGTTCCCCCTGGGGAACCTTGTAAACGGTTCCCCCTTTCCAACCTACCCTCCCAGTATCGCCACTCACACCACTGGTCCTGAAAGGATCATCCGCCCTGGATTCCCTGTGTTTCCAGTTCCTATCTGTACCAGTGTAC